TGTATTGACATATTTAGAAGGTAACTATACTGCCTATAAGCATCTATATTCTATATTTAGAATTTTATGTTCAAGATTATAATCTTTATTTTATAATTACATTTTGAATGTTGAATTATTACACAACATACGTATGTAAAATGCGAAATATATTAGGTATACTATTAAAGGATTACTTATATTATAATTTATATTATGAGCACAACATTATGTTGTTTATTTTTTTTTTTCAATATTGAGTTAATAGTATATAATCTATATATTTATTATTTATTAATTTATCTCTAGTTCCCAACATTACAGACTATGGTCAATCGTTTGATCAATTTGATTTTAAAGCTAAATAAATATATAATTTATAAATTTCTTTCATGTGTTAACTACAAAAGAATAATATGCTAACTATAAGATGAATTTGATGTAGTGTTGTACTTTATTCTATTTTCTTAATTAGATTAAAGCAAAGAGTACCTACATATTTCTCATATTATATACTTAAACTTTTAAAGCTGCATGTTATACTATGGAATTTTCAAAAAAATATGAGCTTTAACAAGGACAAGTTTTTCCATTTCAGATAGCAGGAGTCTATTTTACCTACACAGGTTAAACAATATTTACGAATTTATCAATCCAATATTCCAGATAGTCCTTAAATCGTTATTGAATACGGACCACTAATAGTCTAATGAAAGACTTTTAAAAATCGTGAACCTCCTACCAATTTAATAATCTTGGTAATTAAAAATTAATCAATTAATAATAACCTATTTTTTTATTCCCACATCAAACCATATTATAATCCAAATTTATTATAAAGTTACGAAATTTAAGTTAGCATAACATAATTTAAGTAAATAATACATGTACAATTTAAATTAAGGTTTAATTAATCTTAAGCATTCAGCCTTTATATTATGACGTGTCAAGTGTACCTTCAAATTAACTTCACTGTAACACGAATATGTTTTCTAATGTTGACACAAGAAGCCAAATTAATTTTCTGTTCATACGGTTTTCATAGCATAGAAATACATTACAATTATCTACATAGAATTATATATTTTTCCCCAATAAATGCGAAATTAAATAATATAATACAACTTAATATACACATAAATGCTTTAATTGCATACTTAGAATATTGAATCACATATAAATTGAACTTTATTTACAACATCTTAACGTTACCGATAACGAAATCATATACCATATTTGTATAGGTGCGTGAAGTTGGCAATATCTAATTATCTGGGTATATTTGATTGTAAATCACTAATGCTACCTGAGAAGGTGGCGTGGTAGATTCAAGTAGATTCTAGGCTCTAGCATTCAGTTTAAACACTTGATCAAAACATTTTTCCTATAATGACGCATCAAATTTTATCTATAGATATTTGAAGCATAACTTATATAAAACTTAGTGTTGAATTTTTCAACCTTATATATAAATACAACATTTTTTATGATTTTTCAACTTCAAAATTACTTGCACATTTTCGTGTTTTCGACAGATTTCGTAAAAATTTGAACTATAAACGCTTATAAACAAAAATTGTGACCAACGATTTTTAATTTTTTTTAGCTACAATAAGAAAAACTCATAAGGAACCTTGTATTAAATTTCAAGTTTTTTTGGTGATCTAAAATTTTTTTACCGACACTTCAAAAAAAATTCTCATAAAAATCGAAAATTTCAGTGGTCTATAAATATCTCAAAAAAAGTCAAAAATGTTAAAAAATTAACTGTATATAGATATCACTAACATAAACATTTGGTGAAAATTTCAAGTATATAAAGTGATTAGTTTTTGAATTACAACCATATAAAAAAATCGATTTGGTCGAAAACTGATTTTGCGTAAAAATTCCCGTTTTTCTGTCTTTTTTTTTTTTGTTTTTCTTGATTTTTTTGAAAACAGTTGGAAAATATTTACTTTTGAGCATTATAATGCACCAAGGATATTCACTTTTACATCGGATACCACCCCCAAAGTTTGAAATTGAAGCATTATTTCGACTAGTTATGCGGTAGACAGACACAAAAACAAAAAAACAAAAATCACTTCGTTCAGAATCTAAAAATTAAAAATAATAAATTGTAAGTATTTTTTTTTAAGATGAACACAACAAGTTTAGTTCCTAAAATAAATAATCTGTTCAAATATGGCTGTAATATAGACCTATATTATGATTAGTGACAAAGTAATAATAGGCTTTGGGGAAACAACGATTTGACCATTCCGGAGCTGGCTGGTGTCTACTGAACTGCTGGTATGGCCGATCTCGGATCTGCCGTCAGTGTAGCAGAACTATTTGTATGGCCGGTCTGGCCGTCGGTGTAGCTGAACTGCTAGTTTGTGGCTGATCTGCCGTGTCTGGCTTTAGGATGCAAGACAGATGAAAACGGATAAAAACAATTCAAACTATTCAAAGTTCACTTCCGTTTCCGAGTGAAAACGTGGTTTACGAAATACACTTATACACAAGAATGATACGAAGAATATGATATTCTATTATATTGAATAGTATTCAAATTCTGATTTGATATTCTGAATATCCCTTTTTATGAAAACAGTAACGGACCGACACAGCAATCGGTAAATAAAAAAAACGATAAAGATGGCGACGGAGCGTCGCAGGCCGCACATCAACGGCCGTCTGGGCGGCCTAATGGTCTGGCCAACTGTAAGCAATGTTGGCAACATCACGCGCCACAATGGCGCGTAATAGTGAGCAATTTTAAATGTCGATGGTGCTCGAACACACATTTTGGAAAAAAAATTTTTTTTAAATCGATAGGTTGCTAAACTAGAATCGTTTCGATTTTTTTATTAAAATTTGATTTGTAATTAAAATCAGATTTCTTAAAAAAAATTTGAATTTATACAAACAATGGAAAGGTGCGTAATATAGTGACTGATTAATAATAAAAACGCGACAGTGTGAAAACGACGAGCGTACGCATTCGCGTTTCGGAAACGCGTACGCGCGCGATTAATCGCCTAGTGTGTAAGCCACTTAACGCTACAATTTAGTTAATTTTAAATTTAAATACCTACTAATTATTAATAATTATATAATTTGATTTTGAATTTGCTAATATAAAATTATAACACAAGAATCTATACGATAACTCCGATAAGACAATAATGACGTCAAGTACCTGCCTAGTACCTAGAATCTATAGTCCGATAAGATAATTGTTTTGATACTATTTAAGTGTCTATAAATATCCTATTATACCTACATAATTCTGTGGATTACATTAGGTAATTTATTCTACGCAGTTATGCATTTCATTACAATCAGTTATAAACAAAAACAATTTAAATGATAGATGAGCGCCCCCTCATAAAAACGCCCCCTTCAAAATAAAAAATGCCCACAAGGGGGCGGTAGCGCCCACGTTGGGAATCACTGGTGTACTGCATATGGTGGCAGGGGTCGTTGTGCATGTTCTTTTTGGGAAACCTCATCATTCGGACGGATCATCGACCTTCTTACATACACCGCATTTAACATATTTCACATAAATCATTTCTGTACTTAATACTTCTCTTTCATCATTATATTTTTATGTGAGGTCCAAACATTAGGAATAGAACGATTCGGTGGCGATAATTTATAATTGATGTAAATTTAAAAATAAAATGAAATATTCACGCTATAAAAATAAATTTATTATATTCCATATTTTGTTGCATGTCGAGTGTTATTGACTACTCCCCTCAATCATTCACTCCCAATGTATTTTTTCGCTTATATGCTTGTTGTAATTTATGTTTACAGATTGTATATTTTTCTAATAAATGTAAAAAAAAATGTTTTATACGTATTATTAAGCGATAGCTTAAAATAAATAAATAAAAGAAAATTGTCCTACATTATATAAAACCTTAAAGTTTTAAGTAAATTTAATTGCGGGTTTTCAGTCATTATTTTAAACACAAATAACCATAGATAGGTACTTTAAATGTTCGCTAAGGATTTATATCAGAATTTACAGTAAATTTAATATTTCGCAACATTTTCGAAATTTTTTGAGTTATTTATAGATGTGTGATATTTTCTGTATTTTCTGTATTTTTAGATTTTTTTTCTTTAAATGTCTGTTATAAGAAATGTTCACTTGGTAAAACATTTCATCATATACATATTATATGCAGCCATTTGAAGTTAAATCTTCAAAAAATTCGTCAAAATCATGAAAATGAATTATTTTTTTGTAACAAATTAATTAAATCTTCAAGTTTTATTAATAAACTTTGAAAAATTAGTACTATGATTCTTATAAGTGTTATATATTGACATATTGAACCAAAATTTCTAAAAAATGTATAATGATTATGAAAATATTTTTCTAGCTAAGATAAAATTTGCCTTAAAATTTTGGCAAAATTAGATAGTTTAACGAAGAATAATAATTTTAGTTATATTATTATATTTTATGTACACATTAATTGTAATTTTTTAAATGTAATATTTTCGGCAAATATTAATTCTAAATAGGTTATGTTATGTATACTAAATAGTAATATACTATTTTAGCAAAATAAATTACTTTCATAGCAATATAATGAATATATCATATAATATGTTTGATGGTATATGCGTATTGGGTTATCTGCAGCTGTCCGATTGTCTTTACTAAAAATCATTTTTCTTATAAAATTATTTTTTATGATTGCATTAAAATTTAATTAATCGATTGTGACCCCCACAAGTCACGACACCTAGCGTACAGAAGAACGAGACACAATAATTTATCACGGTGTATATAGGTATTGCAAAAATTATGTTTTGATGTTTGAGGTATTAGACGGATAAAAACTGGTATATAGTATCCAATTCATCAACTAACCCATGACGTAGAAAGAATTCTGAATTATAAAAAAAAAATACGCTGTGTACAACTTAAAAACTGGATTCAAGGATTTCAGGTTATAAAGAATACATAAAATATTATAAAATGTGCACATCATATTACTACCGAACTTATTTTTGATGAGGAAGCAATGGAAGCAACTGGTTAGGAATTTTATGTGCGTGAAAATGGTTTAAAAAAAATTCATATGAATTACATTATTTATTAGACAAAATAAAAGCACATTTTGTTGATAATTTTTTTTTTCGTGAGTCCATCAGTATTTATAAAATAGAATTTTCTTATTTTTTTATTGCAAAATTGTGTTATTGATGGTAAATTAACTGTGAGAAATATAAAATACTTTTAAAGCAGCAGACAATATAAGAATAGGGTTGTGTTTTACATTTTAAAATAATATTAACGAATAAAAAGCCTATATAACATTTGGGTTGATTAGAAAATAACGTAGATAGTCGTCTGAAATAATATCAAAATTTTTTTAATTAGTATCATATCATTCTTTAATTTTTACCGACCTCACTAAAATATTATTTTATCATAGGTAGTTCACAGAATATTACACCATGACGTATATTTTTGGTTTGATGTTGTTTGTTGGAATGGTTTCATCATTGGCAATCGCACAAATGTCTAGTCCACAACTAACAGTAGACAGCTATCCGACATACGATATACAGTCCTCAACAGACCTCAATCCAACGACCGCTTTGGAGACATCCACACTATCAGATGAAAATGATGATCAAGATTGTATTTGCACACCTTATCATATGTGCAAAAGCCATGTACCGGACTATGAAGGCCACGCACTCATTAATATAAGGTAAGAACGACTAAGAAGCAAAATAGGCATCACAATTCATACTCCAATTTCAACAATAAAATAATATAAGTACGGCCTTTGCGTTATATTTGAATATATTGACATTTTTATTTTTTTAAATACGTTTCTCTTGAAAATAATATTTAAATTATAAAATTTTTAAGTTAAATGTTATGTGTATATTCACGATATTTCTTACGATATTATTTACTAAAATATGGAGAAGGTACCTCAATGTTTTTGCATATTTATCCATTTCTGATGTTGAACTTATAGAATGCATTATTGCATTTTTAGAATAAAAATGGGTACCTAATGGCTAGTGTGATGGAAAGAACTGACATTAATATTATAATGTAGTTAATCATTAATGTGATACGTAACTATTAAATTCTAATCAATTTTAATTTAAAAGAACAAAAGTTATTACTTAATAAGTTAACCACTTTAATTATMAGTCTTTTCTGATACACCATATAATATATCACATGTATTATAAATATTATTTTATTATAGTCAGCTATGATTATTAATGTAGTTTTTAAGATAATTTCTCGTTATACATCTATAATATTTATTTTATTTTTCATACGTACACTATTTTTATATACAGGGTGTCCCGCGAGGATTTACCCATTGCGATATCTCACGAAATAATGGAAATATTAAAATTCTGGTTTTATAATAAGATTCAGAGGGATAAGAAGTACAATTATTCTATTTTTAAATTTATTTTAATATTTTTGTACAAAATGTAAAAATGTATTTTTTCATTTAATTATTTCCAAAAATGTTAAAGATAGCCATTTTGTAGGGTTTATTTTTCTGAAAATATGGACGTTCCTAATATTTTATTTTCATTCATTTCCTGATTTTTAATATTTTTTCTAGTTTTGAAGAAATAAAATATGATTATAGTTAATAACACTTAAGGTATTCGGCTGGCCGTATGGGAATGCAAGCGGCGCGGCGGGTCACATGTTTGATAACATTACGGTGTTAAATAATTCGTAATTTTTCTCGAAACTAAAAAAGTATTTAAAAATCAGGAAATTAATGAAAATAAAATTTTGAAACGTCAATATCTTAAAAAAAATAAACTCTACAAAATGGCTATCTTTAATTTTTTTGGAAATAATCAAATAAAAAATATAATTTTTACTTTTTTACCAAAACGTTAAAATCAATTAAAATATGAAATAATTGTAGTTCTGATCCCTGCGAGTCTTATTACAAAACCAGAATTTTGATATCACCATTATTTTGGGAGATATTGCAATGGGTAAATCCTCACGGGACACCCTGTATAATAACAACATAATTATGTTTATTTTTATGTATTGAATCAACATTATAATTCATAAAATTAATATTCTCGATTATATTTAATTTTAGTTTTATACATTTTATTTTGTATTCATACATTTAGCGAAACATGACTTATTTAACTTTTAAGTCTTGATCCATAATCTTATTTTCTAAACTCTACAAATATTGTACAATTTACCCGTTTATTGAAATTTGATATTGTAAAAAACAATTATGTATTCATAATTCACCTTTTTTTCGTTCAAAAAACAAGGAACGGATGATAACTATAAAATATACCAATAACCTATACATATATAATGAGGATGTGGAATAATATAGCAATGTATACACATTAAACGTTGATCGGCAATTTGAATACAGTGATTTTTATTAAAAATAATTTATCTGTATACGTGGTTCAAAATGTTCAAAGCAGAACTAATTTTCACGGGTTAATTAAATATTTTTACAACATAAAATAACGAAATTTTAATGCTTTAAAATTCATAATATTTTGCAGGATTTTTATTCATAAATAGATAATCGTATATTATTTTAAAATTGAGATTGTAAAAATGTTAATACAGTAAAAAGTCTTATTTTTACATTTTTACATTTCAGAATAAACGTAGCTCCGTGTCAAAGTTATTTGGATATTTGTTGCAATGATTCAAAAATCACTTCAACTCAAAACTCTAGCTCCGAAGATTATAGTAAAGAACCTAGTATTGACCAAATAGCTATTACTAATAACCCATCTGATGGTCAAACAGATAATTCTACTATGAAACCGTCAGACTACCAAAAAGAAGAAACTACTAATGATCCATTTGTTGATCAAAAAGGAGATTTTACTAAAGAGCCAAATGTTAGCCATAATGAAGATAACAATAAAAATCCACCTGAAAGCGAAATAAATAATTCTACTGAGAATTCATCTGACGGCCCAACAGATAATTCTACTAAAAATCAGTCTGACGGCCATAAAGAAGAAAATATTAAAGAACCATTCATTGATCAAAAACAAGATTTTACTAAAGAGCCAAATGTTAGTTATAATGAAGATAACAATAAAAATCCATCTGAAAGCCAAACAGATGATTCTGCTAAGAATCCGTCGGATGACCCAAAAGAATATGTTAAAGAACCTTGCGTTTGCCCAACAGATGGTACTTCTAACCAGCCGTTTGAAAGCCAAACTGAGCATCTTACTAAAGATCCGATCGTAGATCATTCAAATGTAGTGACGGACAAATCGACTACTCTTGAACATATTATTACGACAGAACCCGACAAAACCTCTAATAATCCAACATCAGTTGACCAACGTCAATGTGGTACTTGGAATAAAAATGGAATTGGTTTCAAAATTGGAGATGCAATCGATAATGAATCGGAGTTTGGTGAATTTCCATCAATGGTGGCAATATTCAAAGAAAAATTATCTAAAGACGGAGAAAAAAAACTCGTGTTGCATTGCGGGGGTTCATTAATCGAGAAAGACGTCATTTTAACAGCCGCTCATTGCGTGATAAAGTAATTATTGTTTTACCTCTTATTATTGATATATACATTTAGATTAAAAATTAGATATTGCTCAAAAAATCCACACTATTATTTTAACATAAATAACTGATAAGCACATTTATATAATGTTACACAGATTTAAGTTTGATACCTAAATTAAATATAGTTTTTTTTTTTTTTTAGGGAAGATATCTTGACTTTGGTCGTTCGTGCAGGTGAATGGGACTTAAAAACAGAAAAAGAAATACTTCACCATCAAGATCGTAGAGTATCCAAAATTGTCACTCATCCCGATTATAGCGCCAATGGAATTTATAATGATGTGGCCTTAATTTTTACCGTAGACTCATTTTCTTTACAAGAAAACATCCAACCTATATGTTTACCTGCCACAAATGATATTTTTATAAATGATAAGTGTTACTCAAGTGGTTGGGGTAAAACTGTTTTTTATAATAACTACACAATTGTTAAGAAAACAGAATCGGGAAAAACTAGTATGTAGATAAGCTTGATAAAAAAAATACAATAATTATTAATTTAATTATTTTTATTTTTATAGGAGAAACTGGCCAATACGAAGTCAGTATATTGAAAAAGGTTGATCTTCCAATTGTTCCTCGGACGCTCTGCATGGACGCTCTTAGGGCCACAAGACTTGGACCAAAATTCGTATTGCACGATAGTTTCATATGTGCTGGTGGTCAAGAAGGGAAAGATACGTGTAAAGTAAGATAATACTTATTTACTTAAGTCTTTGATTGTAACTGAAGCGACTAAGTGGGAACGTAAATATTTGTATGTTGGCTGAATTAATATAATCCTAAAGTACCTATACATAAATTTTAATTTTAAATATAAGGGCCAGTGTAGTTGATAATTATATTTCATAACAATCTATTATTATAATATTATTGCAAGTGTGTTTAAAAGTATAGTCAATAAACCAGCTATTAATTAATTTCATAAAATCATAGTATTATATAGTTATTATATTGGTTTAAAAATATTTTGGTACTATTAACTAGCTTTACTCAGAATGTTTTTTGAATGTAATAATTTGTCATTTGAACATATTTAAATATTTGGACTAACTAAATCAATATTATATGTGTTGGGTGCAGGGCGATGGCGGCAGTCCATTAATGTGTCCATACAAAGATGAGCCAGATCGTTTAGTTCAAGTTGGTATCGTGGCTTGGGGTATCAGTTGCGGTTTGGCAGATATACCTGCAGCTTATGTTAACGTTGCCGGTTTCGTGTATTGGATTAAAAATGAAATAGAAAAGGGCCATTAAAATTTCTGTTTAAAGATAATGTGTATGTAATTTAAAACCTACATACATACTAACGTTTTCAAATGAATCTTTATGGGCATATTAATTTATTTTATATCAAGTCTATTTATACGATTTTATACGTACATAACTGCTATTTTAGTTATAATAGCATTGATAAGTTCAAATCATAGAAACCATAATTACCATTGTAAGTTTGTAACGATAATAGTTATCATTATAATAATTATTGCTTGAAATATAATGCATATAAACGGCTGCATCCTAGTCCCAAATTTCCCATCATTTCCCAACATCCCGTATTTAAAATTGCTACACTAGTTGGGTCCTGAATTATTTTAGGTACTACACTAGTTGGGTCCCAGATTTTTATAGGTACTATACTAGTTGGGTCCCGGATTTTTATAGGTACTACACTAGTTTGATCCTGAATTATTTTTGCTATAACATGAGTTCTTGAATATTTTTTGGTAAATACTACACTATATTAACATTTTCCTTCCCATATTAACAGACTTAGGACTGTCTATAATCTATTTAGACAACAGGTATACAGG